TAAAACATTTTGTATATATTTTCTTTAAGTGCTGCTGATCGTGTTAGTTTATAATTTGTGTTCCAAATTCTTTCCCAAGCTTCTTGGATGAGAAGGGAAACGACTTCAAGGAAAGTCCAGTTGCCTTTTGAAAAAGCACCTTTGGGACAACATGGATGAGCGAGAAACTCCATAGATGTTTAGATACGATTGAAAGTTTCAGAAGATGCCTGAGGCCTACCCGCCTGGGTTGTTGTTATTTTTTTTTTTCTCAGCCAGGACTAGCAGCCTGCAGGATCTTCCCTCCCTAAACTTTGCTTGCTGGTAGATTGTTCTATGATTCATTTAGCCAAACGCTGTTGGATGCTGCCTCTGATGTGTGCAAACATTGATGATCGAATTCTTACCTCCTCTAGGCACATAGAGATGAAATCCAGCGTAAATTTGAAGCCCTTCGTAATAGCTGCACAGTGAGTATTCAACCGAGATCCTTGAATTATTTTGAAAAAAATCAGAGGATGAGGAAGGAAACGGTCCACGTTTTTGTGGCTCTGTCTGCTCCTTGGGAAGGCAAAAGGCTTCGGAAGGAGTCGTGGGCTTTCCCCCCCCGGGCTAGCAGAACCGAGACTGATCTGAATTCTTACTTGAGAATCTCCAGAAGAAAATAAATAAATAAATTCTCTCTCTGGAGAATTTGAAGCGTTCAATCTGGCCACTTTCAAAAGCCACCCGAAAAACAATTGGAAAATAAATTTTAAAAAATCTCATTTCGGTGCAGCTAATAAGAATGGTTTAAGCAGCTGCCACAAACGATGGGTCTATATATATATATATGACATTTCCAAGACCGTGTTGGGTAGTAACTTATAGGCTCGGGCCTCCAGCCAGCCTCAATGTCTCTTTAAGATGATATACTCCCTCACCCTGTAGATTCCACTGGGAGACACACAACCTTCCATCCTTCTGTAAGGCAGAAGCATTTGGCGAACGTCGCTTTATTGGGGATTGGCAACGCAAGCGTTGCGTTTTGCTGCAAGCTGGGGGAATGGCTGCATGCACGGCTGCCTCGCTGCATTCTTTGCCGCAGGTTCCCCTTGGATGGAAAAGGCCGAGCCACCCTTAGGTGCCTCTCCGCCCTTACCTGCCCCCCCCAACTTCCCAAATCATGCATGCAAGCTCTCATCTCCACTTTTCCTTTCCTTGCATCTCGAGCGAGCCCCTCGCCATCTCTCAACGCGCCTCCGAGGCCGCCACTTGCATGCGGAGCAACGCACACCAGATCTTGCGCCGACAAAATGAATTGGGGGGGGTGTTGTCCTCGAAAAAATACATCTTTTGCAACGAGACCCTCCCCTGAGCAAGGGAAGCTGATGTTGCTCAAAAAATGGGCGTCGTCCGGTTTGGCTTGGTAGCTGCTGAGTTCAAGTAGATTTTTGAAGTGGGGTAGAAAATGTTTAAAAAAAAAAAACCACGTTGCAGACGCTTCAATAGACTTTAGCAATCCTGCAGCCTGAAACAGCTGATGATCAGGAGAAAGTGAAAGGGAAACTTGCTCTTTGCTCCAGGAAGCAAATTGCTGGGAGGCAGAGACAGATATTTTTTTTCTCGTGCTAATCAGGGTGTTTGCTGCAAGGAGGTAAGTCAACAACTATAAATGCCTATAGAATGTTCAAATTATTAGACTTATTTTTTT